TAGTTCCGCGAAAATCAATAGTTTAGAAGATACGATTATATTTTAAGTAGTTTTTAATATCTTACCTCAATCTGTAGGTGTTCAGCTTTTACTAACACTTACCAGCGATTTTTGTTAAAATATTATTATATTATTATTTTGTCCTATATTTTTCGAATATAGAAAAAAAAATCACCATCATTAAGAATAAAAATAAAATTCGCTCATTACGTGCTTCCTTCGTGACTTTTCAACCTTTATACCAAAATTTCTTCCTTTAGAAGACCACGCGCGTTGGCCTACGTTGCCACCGACTAACTTTGACCACTATTGCAACGCGTACAAAGAAATTTGGTGACTCATTTCTTTGTCGCACTATCCGACATCCGTAAATGGAATGCTCTGCTCGCTCCCTCCCTCGTTCAACCTGGGATCCTTTAAAAGAGGTGTGAAGAAGCAACTTGCAGGCTGGCAGGGTAAGGATGGCTGGTGTGGCAGGTAGAACTGCTGTTTAAGCTATCTTCGCGTCTGGACTTCACCGTCACTTAACATCAGTTGCGGTGGAGTCATTTGTCGGACCTATATATATAAAAAAAATTCAATAGGTAGAGTAGATTTCAAATAAAAGTGATTCAGGTGATTGGAGTAAAGAATTTTCAAAATACTACACAAAAACTCACTCGTAACTATTGATTTCCGCGGAACTAATGATCGTCCTAAATTATTCGTCATAATAGTCCTCCACCTAAAACATTTTTGGGCCATTGTAAATAGGCCACCTTTATAATTATATCTCTAAATATATGATAAAGTGATATATATAAACTTTATCTGATAAACAACATGAGCCAAATCATCCTTTATTTATAAGCTTAATACATCCAAGGTAAAATTCGCTATCACTCCCAATTATCTCATTCCCAAGAGTAAATCATATTACATGTAGATATAATATACTGCCTACATATTACATAAACCTAAATTAGATTTATCATTCTACGAAACAATAATTTGTTTACGAACGAGAAGAGGAGGCTTCGGAGAGCGAGCGACATCGTAATAAAATTTATTATGGAACAATATAAAGCCAATTGGTTCGTTATCAATGTTTGATATAATGATACACTTGTCAAAAATATTTTTATCAAATCAATGTAAGTACATGGAGGTGTCAGTAACAAGTGTATTGTGTAGCGTCGGTATACGTACAAAAATTGAATAATAAACTGTTACGTTGTCCGTTGAACTCAAATATAAAATATACAAAACTGTGCAACTCGGATATGCACAAATCGTTCAGTACCATCGTAATAAAAACGGCCAAGTGCGAGTCACACTCTCGTACGAAAAGTTATGTTCCATTGTCTTTATAACATTGATTGGACGCTATATTATAATATCGAGCAAAACCCGGCAAATATGAAAAATCATATATGTTGTATGGGAGCACCCCTTAAATATTGATTCTAATTATTTATTTTTAACCGAGGAAAAAGCGGAGGTGGTTCTCAATTCGATCGATATTTCTTATGTTTGACCACGCGTAATTTTATACAGAGTAGTCTGTTTTTTTTTTTTTATTGGAAAGGTTGACAATTTTTTTTTTATTGAAAAGGGTTATACCCCCAAGTTGGTCTCGTATAAACCTTTAAACCTTAAAGGTAGGAAAACAGGGGATGATTGATTGTTCACTCACTGATTGTAATGTGTTACCTGACCATGTATAACTTTTACAGAGTAGTCCGATTTTGATAATTCTTTTTTATTGGATAGGGATATACTTAACTCTAAGTTGATGTCATGTAAATTTGGAAAAAAAAATACTATCCTAAGCGTGGGCAAATAGGGGTGATTTATTGGTCACTCACAGATGTCAAGCGTCTACTTGCTGCCGTTATTAATATCGAGCAAAATACGTCAAAAAAAAAACATTTCTTGTATGAGTCACTATTTTTTTTATTCTGCTTTTAGTATTAGTTGCTATAATAATAATAAGAATCCATTTAAACGAACGCAAAATATGATACATTCTTCATTATGTTTCCTTAAAGTTATGTTTCTTTAAAATAAATATATATATATATATGCCAAACAATAATTTACCGCATAATAGTGTTATATGTACTAGTAACATTAATAAAAGTGATGGTAAACATTATCCGATGCGCTTCATTAAATGCAGCGAGAGAAGACTCGAGACGAAATTAATGTACCCAGGAATAACAACTATGTACTTACTTACATAAATCTTTAATATTTTATCGTATATTTAGAATTATTAACAAACAGCTCGATATAAACATCTAATAATTTATTTGATGTCTGTAGAACATGTGATTGTTAAATACGAGTAATATAATAATATACAGTCAAACATGCATATTAAGTACTACATAATAAATAATTAAAATTTATAATAATATAGGTCTTGGGAATATTCGTTAGTAAAAACTTTAAAAAGAAATATGCGCTTCTTTTAAGTACATCATCTTGGGGAAATCCGTTTACTCGCGATATTAAAGTAAAAGTAAATTGGCAATGTTGGCATCTTTACTGACTCTACCTTTCTTTCTAACACATTGAGTAAACTTAAAAGAACGTGACTGGAGGGATTGCAACAAGATTAAAGACAAAAATAACAAAACTCCTTACTTTAGAAACTATTTTTGAATGTATAAATAAAATATTAAAGCGCTTTAACTAAAGTAAAATGAAAACATTCATCATAATAACAGGAGCTCGATGAATACCTAAATTGATTGATTAATCACCTCCACCCACTAAAAGGCATCAAAAACAAGAATGAATAGTCATCCAGACATTACCTACTGTCGAACTCCAAAATCTGCTAATAATGCCCTTTTTAGAATGGATCACAAGTTGGGATTAGCACAACACACACACAACAACTCGTCATATAGCTAGGCGAAGTCAAAAACATATAGCCTTATAAGCCATAAACTACCTCTGTTTCAGAAACATGGACAAGTAAGTACACACAACAAAGTACTTTTGACCTTACTGTTTCAAATCTACATTGATACATGATTCCAATATTCCATGAAATATTTATGTGTACGTAATGCGCCTCAAGTTTAAAGAGGCAATCATAGGACACTTACCGTAGCTGTAAGTAATTTATATAATTTTCCTATTAATAAATTAGTTCAAAATCATCCTCCAATCATCTAGTCTGTATTTCTGAACCACACAACATATTTTTTAAGGAAGGTTGACTTTAATTTAAAGTAAGGTTTTTTTATGCACGATGCCAGAAGTCTCACTGTTTTTTGTGTTTACTACACCATTTAAATCACATTGCGTTTTTCTTTTTAGAATCGTGACTAAAACAATACCATAGACGGTTATGAATCCAAAATTATGATATGGTTCTTGAAAAATACTTCGACAGACCCCTATAAGTTCAGCACCGGGATGGGACGTGTATAAAAATAAACGTGGCTTTTACAGGCTCACATACAGGCATTAAATTGTCTTCTATTACCGGTTCGTATAGGGCGCACTACTTACTATGTACTTTGTACTGAAAATAGCACACATAAAATTCACGTATAGTTTTTTTTTGTAGTCAATGCTACTGCAGGTTAAATTCCCAAAAAGTTACCTCAGTGGGTTACTAACTGAAAAAGAACTAAATCATATCGACCATTTCCTTGTTTTATGATTATGTTCATAAAGTTAAGGTTAAAGAATAATATATTTATTTCTCATTAAAAACTATACAGTAACTTACATAAAAAATAACAATGAGGTACCTAATTGTAATTTTAATTGTTTCACATGTTAATAATATTACATAAGTAATATAATATTGACTAGCAAACCAGCGTTTAATAAAATAAGTTTGTTCTTAACATTTACAACATCAACAAACACATTAATAAAAGCTGAAACTACAAGAGTCTTATTAGTTTACTTTTATAACGTCATTTTCAACATCGCGCTTATGTGGAATGAGATTTCATCTTAATGTTATTTGATTTATACTTAGGAATCTCGCTAAATCTGTGAAAGTACATGGCAGGATTACTTATTGTTGTAATATTTTATTAATGTTGTACATTATTTAATGATGCATCTTTATCATTGTGAACTTCTGGGATACAGGCCTTCCTATCCTAATGGATAGAATAGGGAGAAGGGCTATCTATAAACTACTGCGCAGCTGATGAATGCCAATGAATATGAATACAGACAGATACAGCCGGGAACACGGATTAACAAACTTTCGAAACACGGACGATTTTGATATACGATTAGGTGACCAAAAAAACTAAACTAAACTTAACTTTAAACCCGTCTATAGAGAATATCTTTCAATTCTTAAATAGAAAGAATCGTCATAGTTGAATAATTTAAACAATAAGCCCTCAGAGCATGATGTACCTAACATTGATTGATACCGTGAGTTCATATACCCCTGTTATACCCAATTATATTTCTGAAAAAATTATAGACTGCCTACGTAACCTTGTTCCTGCTGTATAATTCCTAAGAACCGAACGTTGGTACAATTATTATCTTAACTTTACTAAGTAGCTAATAAAATAATCACGTATTTCATTGATTTATCGATTACTTTCAAGGTTTTATGGGTGCTATTTGCGTACCCTCGAATTGATTAACATTTAAGTACTGAAACACAGTGGCGTGCCCAGCGTTTAAGATTCTCTAAAAATTCTAAATAGCTGGCTTTAGCCTTTTTTGAATAAAATATTACAATAAGTATGTTAATGTGACTACATTAACATACTTATTGTAATATTTTATTCAAATGGCAGCAATCATATATTTAAAATTTTGGGTTTGTTTACTTTTCATACAAGGCTTGGTATACCAAGCCAAGCATATATGCTTCTGCATGTTGAAAGTGTAAGTGTGAGTATAAATGCGAATGCATACTACCCTACGCGCCTCAACTCTTTTCCCTTGTCATCCCTAAACTCTTGCGAATCGCTGCAAAATCATATCACTACTGACAAAATAATTGAGTAACATACATTGCATATCCAGAGAGCAGTCGATGCTTGGTATGGAGGGCATGGCGAGCGGCTGCAGCATGGAAGGTGCGGGTGCTGGTGCCGCGGGTGGCGGCTGCTGCGGGCCTGGCGGCGGCGGGCGCGCCCAGTTTATCAGCGCCGTCACCGACATCGTTGGTTTATCTTTCTTCGCCACGCTCGACATGGCAACGCACTAGCATCCTCACATCACTAGTGACACTGCACTTCGCCGATAAACGCGACAAGACTAACACGATAACATACAAAAGCTGATCGACAACATCCAAGTCGCACCGACACGATACACACGACCGATTCGCGGCCTTAGTCTAGGACTGCGAGCGAACTAAATCCCTACAATACGAGTCGTCCACGAGTTCCACGACGCGGCGTGCGGCACGAGAGAGATACGGAGCACAAAAGCGTCACAGCCGCTGGGGACAAAGCAGACATCGTTGTGACATTGTGATAGCGATAATTATTGCACTCGACGCGTCGCTGCGATATCGCACACTGCAAACTGCAACGCGTCATGCGTCTGTCGCGAGCTCCACCACCGCTGCTAAGCAAGTGACTAATGCGCAATTCAACGAGCTCGATTTTGTCAAAAAAAAACATAGGTAGGTACCCGTCGACTTCCGCGCGGTTACCGGCGCGGCGTGAAGGTCTCACCCGACGCGCTCAAGGTCCGCATACAATCATACATGAATAAATCCCATTTTATGTAGAAAACGAGTAGTTTTTTTGCCATTAACGAGCAAATGATACTGAATAGAAATATGTAATTTTAAATATTTTATAGTTATGACGGAGGCATCATCTAAATAATTGGAGTTGTTAGCGGTTGGCCTTCGTGATCGTGGTTGCGCGTTCTGTAATTAAGTTTTACGTCACTAATGCATGGCTCATAGACCGAACTCCCAGAGCTAGCCTCTACCATTTGAATATCACTATGTCACTACACAGGAATCACTTTCCTATTTCTATTTCTTCTTATGGCAATATTGTCTCATTAATTATGTTTATTAAGTCTCCTTTCTACAGAGTTGTATTAATTCACAAAAAATAAGATAAATTCATGATTAAATTTTTCATCAATCTCTAGATTCCCGATAGATTACCCATTCATCATGATACACATCAAAAAACTGAACATTTCAAAAATATTGTGTAACTGCCGTTGGAAACTTGCAAGCGAGCATGTGGTTTGTTTACAAATGTTCGGGGACACCATGTGCGGCCTTGGCTCCTCCACACATCTATAGTGCACGTGTTCAAAGTTAGGAAAACAAAAAAAAAACACGTATCCGTACTATCCGGTGTCGTTAAGCTGTCTGTCCTAAGCTTCATCGTTAAAAAATTTAAGCATTGCAGTGACACTGGTAGTCATTTGAATGTCAGTGAGGTGATGAAAAGATTTTACTATACGATAGAATAAATATCTCCAAAGAGAAATTTTGCAAAATATGTATAGTAAGTATTTATACTAAATAGTTTTCGCGAAGAAAATCAAGATCCAAATTATTCAATAGAATCAAGATCTCAACAACGCCTTAATGATAAGCGGAAGTTTTATATTAATCTATCATTATTGCTAAGTTTTCAAACGCGATAATTTCTATGACCTACACGCTAATAAAACAATCAAGAAATACTAAGTAACGAACTACCGAACGATATTAGATTACGATCTGACCACATGTAGAGAAGATCGTAATTCGATTTCCATGATAGATAGAATAGTAAAAGTGCTAGACAGGCATTATGAACAAAACATCTCATTTTGTACTTGGGACATGAAAACAAGACAAAAGGTCAGACTTCATAGTAAAAACAATCCCCAAAAATTGCTTCAAACAAATTTTCTTCAGCGCGGGCTCTATTAAGAAATCTTTTTATTGACAACTAGTACCCACTACACTCTATTAAGAAATCGTCAATAAAAAGATTTCTTAATAGAGCCCGCGCTGAAGAAAATTTGTTTGAAGCAATTTTTGCCCGCGACATCATCTGCGTAAAATATTGATTTCCAATACAAATTTCCACCCTTAAAGGATGATTTCTAATATAAAAACTACTCTAACTATCTGTAGCAGCTGCAGCGGTTTAAGCGTGATGAGGTATCATTTTATGTCTGCAGGTTACACTTTCGCATTCATAATATAAGTATGGATTACAAACAACATTAACTGTTTACCTTCTACCTCTACCTACCGGCAGAAAGACATTAATATACTGAGGCCTCTTACATGGAAATGGGATTCCGCTACTAAGTAGGTAGGTACTATTAAACAAGAAATAATAAGTAATCACGAAATATAATTGCCGATAGCAAAGCATCCATTAGCTAGCTTATGAACATTTGATAATTTATACTTGACGCTTTGATCTTGGGTAAGTTTAATATATTTTAAAAATAAGAAGTCACTTGCTTCAAGTATTTCTATAGTTATGAGCGCTAAAAATGGGTAGATATTATTCGAACAATCCAAAAGAATTCATTGAAGCGTGAATTTATATCCTTTTACGTTTCGTGAAGTGTGTACATTATAGGACCGCATTACCCGAACCTGTCAATCAGGCAGGCGGTATCCTTGACGACGGCCGAGTCTATGAAATTGATAGCTTCTCTCTCGACATGACATAGGCGCGGACATTGCTACTGTGTTCAATGAAAACGCAAAATCTATATTTACGTTAATACCTCCACAACCAACAAAAGCGACAAAGCTTTGTGCAAAATCACTCCTCGAATTCCCAAAACAAGAACGAATGAAATTCGACAATGTGTAAATACCACGAACACCACAAGGTAATGAGCAAATGAATGATAACGATTTTTCTCGTTACTTGTTCTTGTTTTAAAGTAATATTTACCATTATAACATTAGCCGAGAACTTGACTAGAGGATATTGTTTAATTTTCCTTCGAGAAGTCTTGAGCAGTCGTATTATTAAGGAATGTAAGTAGGTACTTTCATCACGTCATGCTCATGTGTAGGTAACGATAAAGAAAGTGTGGTATCGTGCATGCGTGCAGTGTGGGTTCCCCACTCCCCTACTCCGTCATCGAATCGATCTGCTTCGACCTTGACTTCACGCGCGCTAGTCACAATTAACATTGACAATAGCGACCGTCGACGCGAGCGCAGCATTTCCTTTTGAGACTTTGGCTTATATATATATATCTTTCAGTTCAATATGCAATAGGTAGATATCGCATCGAAAATAAAATCGATGAACAACCAAAGCATTTAGAAGAGAAGTATTTTTACCGTCCATTAACAGCAACAATAACACGGTACTTTAGGAAGAGAAGTTAAATGTCCGTCCTAGACATGACCCGGAAGCAAGTGACTTGAATCAAACGAGTGGGGGCGGAGCCGCTTGCACTCGCCGCGGGATATGGGTAAACGGAGCGCAGAAGAGCGCCGCGGGGGCCTGCGACCTTGGTCTGACTTCGCTGACGACTACAGGTGTTTTTGTGTGTACATGAGTCCGTCTAGTGAGCGACACTCTGTGGCTACCTAAGGCTAGCGATGAGGCGCGGCAACCGTAACCGGAACTTGAGGCAAAACAGTGCTTCTGGACAAAGATTATTAACTGCTCATCGTGCATCTCTTTCATTTTGACTATAGACGAAGTTATACAAATATCAAGTGCATACAGATTATCGTGGTTATTTATCAGAGTACAATGTTATGAGTGGAACTGGTGGAATAGAATACCGCACTTTTTTTGGAACGAAACGTCCAGAAAAAGGTGCGATGTTTTTTGTTTTACCGCTATTTTATACGCATTTAGATTTTTCCACAAACTTATAGGTTCTCTCATTTTTTGTTAGCTGGCTTAGTGTAGACAATGCATCTAAAAGATAGTACATTTACGTAATTGTAGCAAAAGAAATCTCTCAAAACGCGTTATGTTATGCCGAGTTAAAATTTTATGTCTGTACGTAACCTAATCCCACCCAAGCAGCTTTCAGGTTTGAAATATAAATATCTATCATTAGTCAATACATTTAGTGTGGACATTTACAACTTCATGCTTAGGAATCTTGTCACATTAATATGATGGTACTTACATACGGATAATTGGTGAACGCGCCTTGATTTTAAAGTAGAGATGACGACGTTCATATTCAAACATATATCCAGTATCCGAACATAAATATGTATTTGCAGACACTTGTATAAAAAAAAAATACTAGATAAATTTGCTATGGGATTATTGAGTTTTGCAAACAGCATATTCATTTAATTAAATCTGGATCTGAACGAACAATAAATAGGGTCCCAAAAATACTAAATACTCATATTAAAATTTGAAATTGAGAAACAGACACAAATGCGAAGAATGTTGAATGTTTAAACATTAAAAAAAACCGGATCCATAGAAGTTGAAAGTGACACAATTTTACAATAACAATACAGATATGATATGATAAATGCCGAACCGACGAGCCGCATTAGATAAATAAACAGTGGTGATGTAACGGTCGAAAACGTGAACGTTTTTATCATTTACGAAGAACGTTACGTAATGAGCGCAACGAGAGACCTTGGCCGTGACCAACGCGCGATTGTCCCGCGCCTCCACACTTGAGATTAGGGGACTCTGGATCCGAGATAAACGATTATACACACCACCCCAACACTATTTATATCCTTTTGGTCCTTTTTTGTATACAATATATGCTTTAAAGTTCAATACGTTAATATTTCAATCGACCAACCAGGAATGTCTCGAAATGTTTATCGACGATTATTTGTATTAGCTTCAGCCTGGTTTCTCCTCCTAGGTTCATTGTATAGTAATTTATGATAATCCCATTTAAACCTTTTGATATACTGGGCTAAAAAGTATATTTTGTCATATTTCAGGTATACTAATAAACTTCCAGCGTGCCAAATGTCATCAAAATCATCCAAATAAAAAAAAATATATTATTTGTAAGTATACAAAGGATGAATGCATAATTAAATTAAAATTTTTACAATCACATAGAAAAGTGTTTTTTTTTAAATAGCAGCTATTTGTGGACTTTAGTCTGTAGCACTAGAAACTGAATTATTGACATGACAATTGTAATAGAAACACATTTTAAACGAAATGTTTGTTATGTTTAGAAGTGACGCGCACCCATAAGACATTCACGAGAAAAGGTATTTAAATAAGCAATATTTTAGGTTTCTGATAAAAATCCAATAGACATCAATGAAGGAGTCCTCACTATCTGAATCTAATGATCAGACAGTGAGGAATATGTTTAGATGATTACGTACGTTACGATGACAAAATGGACGGATTTGATGATTATGGCGGATGAAACGACAACTAATATCAAAATCGTTGCATGAATTTTCTCTGTTAGCTAGACTATTGGATATAGTCTTCAGAATAATAGGTTAAAATGCGCTAATGTAGCTTGTTTTTGTCGATGTTTGAGTTACGAATCTTGATACCGAACTAATTGAAGTAGAATAACGAGGAAACGAGTTGTTGTAAATCTACACATTAACAAAAACTAAAGTAACATATTAGTATTCCAAATGTGAATTTGCGTGAGGGCGGCAATGAATTCTAATAAACTAGAAGTCCTTGACAATGATACAATCGTCGAAACATCGGATAAACACATTAAGTTTAATGAACATCAACATACAAGTGTGCAATAGCCAATAGATAAAAATATAACTTGAATCATTACAATTCTGAAAAGGAGGTACATTATGTTACGTTCCTAAAATATTCTGCAAATTAATAAATATTTGTGGCACCAAGTAGTTTTCTTTAATATGTTTGTCAGGTGAATAGTAGTATTATGTGTAATTTTATTAATTTAATAAAGTGCCAATGCATTATTATTTTAAAACATTAGCTTTCTGTACTTCCTTCTCCATATAAATTTTTGTCATCTCAAATTCCATGTGCCTAATAAGTGGTTTTCCTTCGCGTGTTATTATAATGATGATATCAAATCAGAAGATTAATTAATTATCAATAAGAGTCTAATCAAAATCAATAAGTGGTTTTCCTTCGCGTGTTATTATAATGATGATATCAAATCAGAAGATTAATTAATTTTATCAATAAGAGTCTAATCAAAATCTATCTTTCGTTGAGCTGAAAAAATGGAATATATTATTTCCAAAAAAAATGAAGCAGGTGTTTTAAGACAGAACAACCGATGCCTGTGAATTTTTATTTGAAATTATATCATTTATTACTCCTGAAGTAAGGATAGCAGAAATCCTTAAGTAAGGATAGCTTATGGTAACTAACTTCAAAAATATGTCGATCACATCAGTGTTCTGTTTGGCACGATTTGTATCGACAGTTACATTATCTTCTTGGCGTCAAAATATCAAAAAGACGAAATTTAAACGCTGCCAATCATACAGAACAGATACGCTGTAACACATTGCATAAATGTTACATAGCAAATGCAGTAGCTAGCGGAATAGAGCACCCCGATAAATGTATTCAAAACACCTAGAGTCAATACACTTGCAACCTTGCAATGCTCTTTACCAGTCGTAAAGAGCAGAGCAGAGTGTCAGATAAAGACATAAGAGTATTAAAACTTTATAATTTTATATTATGCTCACAGGAGCAAATAACATTTCATGTCTATGATTCCACTTTCGTTTAACATGGTGTCTATAAGAATACTGTGTTATAGGTCTTTATAAAGGACTATGTATAAAATTCATAACACTGATTTCTTATTGATTGCGGTGTGGCATAACAACGCCATTTTTCCAATATAAATGTTGTAAAATTTCTTGGGATGCTAGGTGTTAGGTTTAGGTTCACGAGCAACATAAACGTCAACAAAGTCGTCCACGTGCTGCATCATACTTAATTTTAAAACACATTGTTATAAATAACAAAAACCAATCATAAATCTGTAGTGCGACCCAATCATTCCAATACGTCTAAGGTTTTTTAAATTGCGAAAATGTAAATCACAAGTCCGTGTCGGCAACCAAGACATCCTCAGGTACGCAAATGTCGGTGAGACATTGGATGGTCGGAAAGACACTGGTTGTAATTATTCAGATTGAAATTTACGGTTTTTTCGTAGTTGTTGATGTTAAGACTGCGAAAACGGATCGCACATCGATTTTCGAAATTGTCACCAGCCGCGCCGTTTTCGCGGCCGTTACGGGCGGCGTCGTCGCTCTGACTGCCGCGGCGTGCCCCCGCGCGCGCCCCTCGCCGCCACCGTTGTTTTGCTGTATTTTCGTTGTTAATCATTCTCCTTGACCTTGTGCGACGTCGAGTGGTCCACTGCACACGACTGCGCACCCCCCGCCCCTGCTAGACACCCGCGCTGCCTGTCGCCGACGCAACGCATCACACGTGCCAATCGTGCCCTTTCATCCAGCCCGACTGAATCAATCCTAGGTCCCTGATCGCTGCATCATCAATTAACTACGATTATACTCTCTTTCATATAAAAGTACCTATGTGATCTCCGAGTAACCTAAAGTCTCACAAGGCACAAATAAAAAAATAAGAGCAGGATAAAACATTCAACACATTTTCCAACATTAACATGATCATATCACGACAATGATGGGTATGTCTGATATCTTATAGATTATGCTTGGATTGAACACACATAATTTGTCATTTGTTGGTCTTCAATAAAAAAATAATTTGTATAAATTGCCAAAGGTACCTTTGTGCTTAAAATTGTCAGAACATCTCTTGAGCATTCCTACATGCAAATGCAAGTTTGAAAATATTAAAAGAATCAATTTCTGCCGGGTCGTGTTGTATCACCCCATTACGATTAAATTCGTCATTTCCAGATAAGACTTTTTGTGTGACTTACAATTTAACAATTTTGTTTCCTCGATTTCAATATCTTGGCGATCATCAAAGATGCAGACGATTATAAACGCCATTATACTTATGGCGCGATTACACTTGTTCGTTAGCCTAAATAAGAATGCCAATGGAATTCGGGTAAACGACTAAGTGTAAATGAAAGGAGTCGAGTACGCCCGTATTCGGGTAGTTTTCCTTTTGGTTACCTGTCACCGTCTACCAGCCCGTATTCCATTTTCGTGCACCTGAATAATAACTAATCGCCAAGTGTAATTGAGTCATTAGTTTGGCCAATAATACTGTTACAACTAAAAAACAACACAATATTAAGTTTTGAAGTTAGAATTTTCGAATCTGTCATTCCTAAATAAATATTGGTGCCGATTCTGGCGTGATTCTCTAAACTTAAAACTAAATTTAACATCAGTCTGTCCTTTTCATTCTGTATAGAGAATGACAAGGATATACTGCTGTCAAATTTAAGTTTAGGTTTAGAGAATCATGCTAGAATCGACACCATTCATTGCTTTTTATATTTTGTACGCCAATCGGTGTTAACTATCTTAGTGATATTAAAATGGATAGGGGTTTTAGAGAGAATCGAATTGCTGTAATAGCATTAAACAAAATAGGTATGGAGCCAAATGTGACTTTTGAATCTCCAACCGCTTGGTATTTATCGAATGTTTGTGCATCGAGCTATTTTTTTTATTATTGATTTAATCAAATACTATTACAATTATTATAATGCATATAGTGCAAACAAAAACCAGAAAGGTTTATTTGTGCACTACAATCTTCACTGTACATCCAGTAAGAATAAATAAATATAAGTATTACACACTCAAGTAAGTATTATTAAATAACAATATTTTATAAAAGTGGGTATGTTGGAAAATAGTCAACTTTGTGCGGCAAGATAATTAATTTACGCCTGTACATGCAGGCAACAAAAGCCGCACGCACCTATAACGATTGGGTACGTTTTTCATACAAGTCGAAGTCGAAATGCAGTTATCCTAGATATAGCATGCTCCAGTTATAATGATAAATATGACCTTTTTTATTGTGTTTATTTTAAGTTCGCTGTAACGCTTATTTTAAATTATTTATTTTTAAGTTTATTTAGTATGTTTTTTATTTCAAATGGTAACTTATTTACTAAATTTGGAACAATGAGTTGTTGTTGTTCGTTGCGCATATAGATTATTTGATTTTGGAATTAGTAATTTATTATTTGCAACGCCTCGAGTTAACTTACTATGAGAAGTAACCTTTTGAATATCAGTATTGAAGAATTGATCTGTTAAGATGTTATATTTAAATTTCTCCTGAACCGGCATCAATGAGCAGTAAGAGAACAATACGTTATCATTGTTTTTATATTCCTCCCTCATTTTACGAGGGACATTGGTTTTTAAAATGCGCATTTGGAGTTCATAGATGCGATGTAAATGTGATTTAACAGTACGTCCATAAGAAATTATCGATTCCACCAGTGATTTATATAAATATAACAATATAGGATAAGGAATTTTATGTTTCAGTATAGAAAACTTTGCAAGAAGTGCTCGTAATTATCACACACGTGTTGAATATGATCGGCCCATGTCAACCGATCGGGAATGATTAGCCCGAGATAAGTTTGTTTTTTTACAACTTTCAGGGCACCGCAATAGCAATTAGTGTTGTAGTTATTGATATGCAAGCAATTATGACTAATTATCACATAGTGTGATACGAGTACTATAGGAGTTTCCTTCCTATTTTGACTAGTGCTAATATACATAACTTTCGGTTTACTGTCATTTAATACGAGTCCGTTATCATGGGATCATTTACAAAGTAGTGTAAAGTCAGTTTGCAACTTTTTAAGCGCCATGTTAACATCAAGATCAGCAGCAACTAAACAGGTATCGTCAGCAAATTGGTACATTTAGCAAAATTTAATGAAGTTTGTAAGATTATTCACATTAGAATATATAAGGGTCCTAATACTGATCCTTGTGCTGTCCCTTCCGCCAAATGAACCTTATTACTTATAGCATCATCTACCTTCACAGAGTATATCGGTTTTGTAAATAGTTTTTACACCATTCCAATAAAGCACCACGTATCCCAATTTCTTCCAAACTATCAACGAGTATATCGTGACGAAGTGTATCAAACGCTTCGGAGTAATCAATAAATACATAGTCAGGTCATAAATTCTGTCACATGTTTGATAAAAAATAATTGAAACAAGTTTATTCATTATGTAACCATTTATATACCAAAATGAACTTAACAAAACATAGATTCTCATGATATGACATGAGGTCATCATAATGAGTATGACAATAAAGTTTATTCAAAATGACCTCCGTGATTTTGAATACAGGCCTTCAATCTGCGCGACCAGTCGGCTATCGCAGCACGAACGAGGTCCATGTCAATATCGGCGGCTGTCTTAATCAAGAATGTCTTGAGTGACTCCAAATTGGGATGAGGCTTTGAGCACGCCTTTTCCTCCAAGTGTTGCCATATTTTGTAATCTAACGAACTCAAATCTGTACTGGAGGAAAGACTGGCCCAGTCTTCATGCCGGATGAAGTCGATTTCACGCGCCGCCAGTCTTGTGTGCTCTTCGCTCTATCAGCTGGCGCCGAATCTTGTTAATACCCAGTGCCTGTTATTGAATATGGTATGAGAAACAGGTTCCACAAGGTTCGTCAGGACTGTATTTTGATACACAACTGCATTCGTTTTTACACCTTTCTCACAAAAATGTGCCTCTGTTAAAACTCCCAACCATACCATGAGCGAGGATGGAAAATGACCTCGTTGGACACGCGGAATACGGTTGCTCGCTTCTTCACTACTGTGTACACACACACAGTAGTGAAGAAGCGAGCAACACCTTATCATTTTGTTTGTTGTAGCTCTCTTCTACGGTAAAAATTTTTTCATTCAACAAAGCGCGGCATCTCTTCAGTCTCAGGTCCATTAGAGAGCATTCAAACGATGTCCTGTTTTTCTTCGATATGCCCGAAGCCCTAAATGTTCATTTAGCACCCTTTTCACCGTGGTTCTGCTTAACCCCATCTGAAGGGCCAACAGTTTCTACTTACGTTTGGGATTTCTTCGAATTCGCGCCTTCACAGCTTTTATCACTGCTGAGTCCTAACAGACCGAGGGCGACCACTTCTTGACCTGTCATCTACACTAGAGTCTTCATTGTATCGTTTGATGGTACGATAAAAGAATCTTTTGGTTATATTAAAAATTTTCAGTATGTCAAAAATTTGAATTGGCGCGTAACCGATGCAACGCAATAACTGCAACACGATCTTCTTTAAGCGTACAGTCGCCATCAGATATATCTGAGCATACAAGGTGACCAAATACATCTGAACAGTTAAAATGTCATTAAGTTCTATACGCTACAAGTGACCATAAATATCTGAACATTCATTACTTCAATAATATCTGAGCAGATGCCTGTCAATAATATCTGAACATACAACTTTTCAATAATATCTGAACACGTCAATGATTATGTATCTACGCAGATCATGCACTTGGATTACATATTTTGTTACTACGTGATTGAAAGGATGAACTAAAAACAAAGGCTAAATATAAGGAATAAATACGATGAGAAGGGAATAAAAATCTATCAGAAAATCATTCGTGTAGGTCACCACGAGTAGTAGAAATGGAAGATGCATAATTTTTTCTCTATTTATTTTTTATAATTAACGAGAAGTTATGTTTTTATTTTATTCTATAGATTAAATTCTCAATATCTCCTTAGAAATTTATTTAACCCGGCGTCAGCACAGTCAAAATATGCATCAACGACAGTAGGGTTGGGTCGAGAGGACCCGTATAAGAAAACGCCATAATTACAAAAGTTAAAATAAATTTGGTATGTGGTTGTACTATCTGTATAAAACGATTATCGTTATAGGTTTTGAGTAGAAAAAAACACAACATGATACGAAACTATCTTTTTAATGTCATTTTCATAAAAGTGTCACAAAATATTAACAAAATGGACAACCTCTGTCTTAAAGTAATAAAATTTTAACAAAACATTTTTTTTATATAACACAAACTAATTTGTTACATGTTAATCAAATCTTTAGTAAACTAATAATATTATACTATTTGTATCAGTCTCATACGTCAGTCATAGTATCCTTATCATCTGCGCAATCTCGGCAGTACAACATTGCATGGTCACTGCAGATGTATTTGCATATACAGCTCCGAAAATTATTAGTTTTCTATCTTTTTTGGCAGAACAGTCTTGGCATCTCTTTCTTACATAAAGTATCTTCACAGGTGGCTCCTCATCAGGTACCTACTCCTAAAAACTCTCTTATTCTTTTGCGTAT